AAATACACAAGGGGGAGAAATAGACCTTTTCATTTAGAAGTTCTGAGGTAAATTTTCCTCTTCTAGGTATGAGGTAGGTTCTCCTGCCCAGTGTGGGTTTCAAAAATATTTTACTACTGGTTCTGTGGGCATGGCCTGGTGGACATGGCTTGGCTTGGTGGTCATGGCAGGGAAAGGATACTGTAAAATCCATTGCCACCCCACCCCACTAACCTGCTTTCCAGCTCCTTTCTCCTGTGCAGGGAAACAAAAGAAGACCCAGCCGATCAACTGGGACTCAGGAGGCAGAGAATAGATGGGGGTGGGGCAAGTCAGAGGTGGGATTTGCCGGTTGTCCAAACTACTCAAAATTTCTGCTACCGGTTCTCCAGAACTGGTCAGATCTGGCTGAATACCACCTCCGTTTCTGACCCTGCCGTGTCCTTCCCCAGTGTCTGTTTCTTCTTGGCTGCATCCACAAGCACCCAAATGGTCCAAATTGGTTTTCACGAGGCAATTGCCAAATCAGTTAAAACACCACATGAAATGAAGCGAAAGGGTCCAGGTTTCACAACCACGAACTCTTATTAACTCACAGCAAATTCCATCTTGTGGAAACGCCTCAAGATGTTTCCATTATCACTCTGCCCAGAAGGGTTAATGACTCTCCCTTATATCTTCCTCTTTCACTGTTTGCTCATGGAAGCATAGGCAAATTTATGATTCTGCCAATAAGGAATTATGTTAGTGATGCTATTACAGAAAAATCTTGGGAACAGAGGAAGTTGGTGATGTTGAATGGGACAGAACTGCTTCAGTCTTCTGGGTAATATTGGGGCGAATCAAATTGGAAATGGAAGGACATAAAGACAAGAGAACCTTCCCATTGGGTTCCAGAACACCAAGTCCTGTTTGAAAATGCCATGTGATGCAGAGAAGATGATAAAAAAAGGAGAGAATGTGACATTTCTTGAAATGAAAACTCAATGACAGAAGAACAACTTCAACGAAGACCTATTGTATGAGTTGCTCTTTTGCAGCAGGAGAATTTTTTATGTCTGGGACAATCTGGTTAGAATTTCTCCTGACTCTTTTTCATGCAAACGATTTTGAAGATCATCCCAAAGAACATTGTACGGTTGGAAGATTCAACTTCTTTTACTTACTGATTTATTTAGAGAGCTTATATGGGTATTGCTGACATAGCCAGCGGTGGGCTGCTGGGGGTTCATAGGAGTTTGGGAGAGCCCCTAGCTAAGTTTCTGTGCAGTTTGGAGAACCTTCCAATCCCATTTCTGGCTGGGCCCACCCACCCCACCCTGCCCTGCCCCGCCCCGCCCTGCCCCATCCCTCCCAGGAATCCCCACACCGCCCGTTTTAGATGCAGGTAACTGCAGGGCATCATCGGAGACTCTGGGAGGGTGAAAAACAGGCCACCTGGAAGCTCAGGAACGCTGGAAATGAGCCTGTTTTTGGCTTCCCAAAAGCCTCCAGAGCCTGGAGAGGCCATTTTCACCCTCCTGGAGGCTCAAGGAAAGCCTCCAGAGCCCGGGGAGGGCAAATATGCCCCCCCTCCTGCTGGGGTGCAGGAGGCCGACTAGGCCACACCCACCATGGCCACGCCCACCCAGCCACCAGGCAGAGAACCCGTTTCTAAAATTGTCGAAGCTCACCCCTGGACATAAGGGTTGAAATCTTGGAGTTTCATTAAATCCTCTTTTCTTCACTCCTTCTGGCCAATGAGGCCCGTAGATATTTGCATGCGCTTTTTGTACAGAGCTTAAGAGAGAATCAGGAAGTGAGAGCCACTAAAATCTTTGGCTTTGGATTAGGACCAAGTTGGACTTTGCTCCCCTTCATTTTCTCCATCATGGTCTGGATTCTGATGCTCCTCCTCTTCTCTTACTCTCCAGGTGAAGTCAAACACCCACCTCGGCTGTTTTCTCACTTTGTACGAATCTGTTTGCTTCAGTTTCCCATCTTTGAAGAGTTTTCAATGTTGATTTTTCTCCTTTCAGGTGCAATGTGTCAATACACCCTGACTCAAGAACCTGCCCTCTCAGCGCCTCTTGGAGAACCAGTAAAACTCTCCTGCAGTATTAGCAGTGGATACCATTTCGGTGACTTCAGCTGGTACCAGCAAAAGCAAGGAGAAAGACCCAGTTTTCTCCTGTATTATAACACAACCTCCCGAGAGACAAAATTTGGCTCTGGATCTTCTGGTCACTTTTCTGCCTCTACAAACACCGCCAAGAATCCTGCTTTCTTGACCATCAGCAATGTTCAGGGAAAGGATGAAGGGGACTATTATTGTGCTGCTGGGAAACACAGTGAGCAAACTCAATGAGAAACTTGATCATAAATCTCCCATAAGCTTAAAACTCCCAATGCTTCACCATCCACCCTTCACCACTCAGTTTTCTTAAAGACATCTCCTTAGCGTTGTGTCAGTCACGCCAAGCAACGATTCCAAGCTCAGTTATTCCAATTCCAAAGCAAGAGATTTCCAATCACGGATCATCACCAAAATCACGGAACATTATGTGCTTTCCTCCTCTATTTTCCTAACCTGCATGATTACGTAATCTTCTCTCAGCATCAAGGTGACTCAACTCAACCAAGCGTGAAGGGACAAGCAAGGAACTGGCGTTGCTCTAAGAGAAAGTGAAGAAACCTTGAAGAAATGTGAAACATTCTGGCACTTTGCTCTCAAACTTATTTGGAATTGAAGCAAGTGTTACCCAGTTATGGTTATGGGACTTTTCAGCAGGGGGTGCCACCTGCCTAGACATGCGCCAAGCCAACCTTGTGCCACCACTCCTGAAACTCCTCTGTGCAACAAACTGAGCAATTTTACCAGCTGCAAAATACCTCATGCAGAATTGCAGGTGTCAAGAAAAACAAAAGAGTTGAATGTGGTGTAATAACAAAATCTTGGAAATTTTCTCTATGGCCAATTTATGCTATACATAATTTAGATGCTGTTATCGATAACAATGTCTTTCTTAACAGAAAGCATCTCTCTTTGAACTTTACTGATTGCATGAGCTTCTCTGGGCAACAAAGCGACCCAACTCAGCCAAGGATGAAGGACGTTAAAACGACGTGTTTTGCTTTGAAGAGGAAAGAAGGAACCCTGCGAAAATTTGGTCCTGGGACCATTTTCCCCTGAAATATAATTTGTATGGGAGAAGGTGTGTCACCCATTTGTGATCACAAGGGTTTGACAGCCCCCCACTCCTAGAGATTCTCAGCAACAGGCTGAGAAATTTCATCAGCTGCAAAATGCTTCAAGCTGGTGCCAAGAAAGGAAAGACAATCAGATTGTATAAACCACTGATGACATCTCTGCCCGGTTGCTGGGTGGACGTGGCCATGGTGGCCTTGGCCTAGTCAGCCTCCTTCAACACAAGGAGGGGGCTTTTTCACCTTCCCCAGGCTCCAGAGGATTTCCTGGAGCCTCTGGGAGGACAAAAACGGCCTCTGAACGAGCCATAACATTAGCCATGGGTTCTCCTGAACCTGGGTGGACCCGTAGCATCCCAACCCTGTAGCATCCCAACCACTAAGTAGACTGTTTCCAAGATTATGTATCTTCATGCTGGTTTTTCTGCTTTTCCAATGGTTGACCCATTGCCACTGTAAGCAGTTGGTGGTGGTTGTCCTCTTCTCCTCTTTCCTTCCACCTTTCCTAGCATTACTGACCTCTCCAGACAGTTAGGTGATCTTAGCATATTGTTGATTTGGGGATGACTGACGTTCAGTGCAAAAAAAAAAAAAAAAAAGGAAAGAGTGAAAATAGGATTCTTAGGGTAAAACTTCACGTTATTTTTCAAGAGACCTTTCTGTATTATTGTGGTTGAGGTGAACTGCTTTAGCATAGGTGCTTCCAAAGAGCTAAGTGGGAATTGTGCAAGTGTATAAACATAGAATGATTGTGTGCACGTAAAACGATAGAATTATAGGGCTAGAAGAGACCTTGGAGGGCCTCTTGTTCAACCCCAGCTCAAGGCAGGAGTCCTTATACCTTACACCATTCCAGATAAAGTCTCTTCTTGAAAACCTCCAGTGATGGAACATCCACAACTCTGGAGGCAAGCTATTCCATTGATTAATTGTTCTCACTGTCAAAAAAATTCTTCCTTAGTTCTAGGTTCAATTCCCTTCTGATGAACTTGTACTCGTTGCTCCTTGACCTTACCTCAAGTGCTTTGGAAAAGAAGTCAGTCCCTTCTTCTCTATGAGAGTCCCACAGGTAATGAAAGACAATTACTCTATCCCCCTAATCGTTCTCTTCAATATGCTAAACATACAGAGTCAGCCTATTGTCCCCCACCAAATCTGGGTCCTCATTTTACCCACCTCAGAAGGACGGAAGAATGAGTCTACCTTGAGCCAGTCAGTATTGGACTTCTCGCATTCTAACCACTGTGCCACCATTGGATTGGATTGGATTGGATTGGATTGGATTGGATTGGAATGGATTGGAATGGAATGGAATGGAATGGAATGGAAGAGAAGAGAAGAGAAGAGAAGAGAAGAGAAGAGAAGAGAAGAGAAGAGAAGAGAAGAGAAGAGAAGAGAAGAGAAGAGAAGAGAAGAGAACAGAAGAGAACAGAAGAGAACAGAAGAGAACAGAAGAACAGAAGATAGAACCGCTTGGAGAGGGCTGGAAAGCACTGTGAAGCAGCATATAAGTCTTATACCACTTCACAGTGCTTTCCAGCCCTCTCCAAGCGCTTTACAGAGTCAGCCTCTTGCCCCCCAACAATCGGGGTCCTCGTTTTACCGACCTTGAAAGGATGGAAGTTTGAGTCTATTTTGAGCCCATCAGGATTGAACTCCTGGCTGTGGGCAGAGCAAGCCTTGCAATAACCACTGCGCCACCATGGCTCTTCTACTACTACGCCAACTACTTCAAAGCCAATGTTTTGCATCGGGGAGGGGTTGGCCACAAGACTTGTGACATATAAAAGGCAAGGCACAAGAGTTGAAGTAGATGACTTTTTTTTGCCCTCAGAAGGAAAGTGCATCAGATTTCTCATCATGTTCTGGGCTTCTTTCCTTTTCTCGTTGCTGGTGAACTCCTCAGGTGCTGTAAAAGAAGAGGCAGAGTTGTTTAGATGTGTCATCAGGTGAGAAATGTTCTTTTGCACAAGACCGTATTCATTTCTTTGTTTGTTTCTCTGCACAGGGTCCTCTGCCCAGTATGTCCTGACCCAGCCATTATCCGTGTCTGTCCCGCTGGAACAGAATGAAAGGATCACTTGTTCAGCAAACAACATTGAAGGAAAGAATGTTCACTGGTACCAGCAGAAGCCTGGAGATCCTCCTGTTCTGATTATGTATAATGATAAATGGAGGCCCACAGGGATCTCAGACCGATTTTCCGGCACCAACTCTGGTAACACAGCCGCCCTAAGCATCTCCAGAGCCCAAGCACAGGATGAGGCAGTATATTACTGCCAGGTGTTTGACAATAATCAGTGCACCGTGATACAAATTAAGGAGGAAGTATAGCAAAAACCTGTTTCTGAGGCATTCAACCTTCTGGGCTGGCTTGGAGAAGCTCAACCGTCCCCAACAAGGAAGACCTCCTTGTTCCAAGGGCGGGGGGAGGAACGCCAAGCCAAGAATCTCTCTGGGATGAGATCTACATTATAGATTCCTGAGGACTTCTGGTGGCGATGTCATGGTCGATGCGGGACAAAAGAACAGGGCTCTGTTCCTATGGCCCGAATTTTCCTGCTTGGAGGCTCATTAAAGAGCAGTGTTAACCCTGGAAGGACTGACAAGATAGAGGGGAAGCTTCAGAGATGATGAGGAGAAGAGCCATCTCCAGAGAAGAAGAAACCCCTTGATACCAGCAGGAATTATGGCGGATCTGGAGCCGTGATGGCCAGATAGGGATCAGGAAGACAGAATAGGAAGCACAGTGATGGTATCAGTGAGAAACTTCACATTCCACGATTAAATTTTGAAGAAAGACTTTTTATTATATATATATTATGGATTCCCGACCTCCAAGACCTGTCCTCTTCCCATGATTCTCCCCCTTCCCTTCTCACACGTTCACAGACGCAACCAGACATTTCTTGACGTGGGAATCATCTTGAGGAATGCAGGAGGACTTTCCTACTTTTGAATTGCCGTCTCATGGCAATTACACACCTTAGACAGGAAAATATTCCTTTCCATGCGTCCTGCTTCCCGTTTGGGTCCATCTCATTGCTCTAGAAGTTCTACATGTCTGCAACATGTCTCGGGTGATGGAGCAGAACCGTAAAGCAGTGTATCACCTTAACTTCCTCCTGCCCAGTTTTGCTTCTTCTTGTTCTGCTTGGTTACCCACCTGTTGCAACTGAAGAGAACACCTGAAATTGTTTTTCTGGTTGCAGGTCTGCAAGTGCACCATGTTGCCTATAGATTGGGCGGAGGAGGTGTTAAATCTCCCTGGGGAGCATCCTATTCAGAACAATGCCACACACAGAGAGAGATACTTTCTTATATGCTTTCTCATTCAGCAACTTGTCCGAATAATTCCGTTGCTGAGTTGTCTTATTGCAAAACTTCGTAGGATGTTTTGTTTGACAGGGGGACAGCAACAATTGAATGTATATGTACATCCTCCACCCCAAATTACTGGAGATTTATTCTGGGTGGGATAAGAACTTCAAAAACTTTACCACTATTTTGAGAAAGTTTTGTCTGAATTTTGCAAGTCAGTTGTCCAAGAAACAAGACTGGGAGAAAGGCTGTTTATAGATCTCAATAGATCTTGAGAAATATCTTCTCCTATCCCTCTATCCAAGGACAGAAAGAGATCCATGGAGACCAAACGCCACGGTGATGCAATAGTTAGAATGTAACATTGCAGGCTAATTCTGCTGACTGCCAGCGGTTCAAATCTCACCAGGCTCAAGGCTGACTCAGCCTTCCATCCTTCCAAGGTGGGTAAAATGAAGACCCAGATTGTTGGGGGGCGATAGGCTGACTCTGCAAAACGTCTTAGAGAGGACTGTAAAGCACTGTGAAGCGGTATATAAGTCTAAGGACTATTGCTATCTTCCTTCCTTCCTGTTAGAATGCAGTATTACAAAGCTTATGTCTGACTTTTGCAAGTGAGTTGTTCAAGTAACAGGATTGGTCCAAAGGTTGTTTGTTGACATCAATGAATCTTGAGAAAGGTCTTCTCCTCAATGTGTCTGTGAGATCTTTGGGGACCTCGGACCGACAGTCTGAAATCAGCTCCTGCCACAAGGCCACCCACAGATACCTCTAGGGCCAAAGAGAGACAAACCAAACAGGAGGTTAAAAAGAAAGGGGGAATCATGCCTTTCTTTCAAGTGATATCCTTTTTTTATTCAAAAACTGCTAACAAGATGCAAACTGAATTTGCATATAAGGGGGGAGGACTCAGATTCTTGGGGGTTTTAAGGGACTACAGCAGTCTTCCAATTTGAGTTTCCCCCAAAGCTCAATTCTGCATCATGGCCTGGTCTCTGTTCTTGGCCTTCTTCTTCTTATGGTGCACAGGTAATTTAGGAAGAATCCCTAGCTCTGAATTTATCTCTGCCAGCATTCAAGGCTGGGAAAGCACCAAGTTCAAGCGATAACAGTGGTTTGATCCTGATATCAAAGCCACCTTCTTGCATGCCTGCCAACCCAATGGAAATCCAGAGATATCTGGCTTCCAATCAGAGC